AGAGAGAGAGAGAGAGAGAGAGAGAGTTTTAATTCCCATTAAGCATCCCAGCACTGTTAGAAATAATTTGCCTTTTGGTCTCACTTTGGATTTGCGTTGTATTTCCCAGAAGATTGTCCCTGCAAAGAAGAAGATGGAGACAAAGAAAATGCTCGATCCAGGAAGCAGATGGCAGAGCCTGAACCTGAGGGCCACATCCCTCCAGGGGGAAAAACCTTTATCGAGGTTGTATGTGATGCCAAGTAAGTAGCTGCAGGTCTGGGGAGAGATAGCTCCAGGGATGTTTACATGGTTTTTTCAAGTTTCATTTGTGATGCTTTTCGGTTTGCGTGTTATAAAAGGTACTTATGAGTGTTTTCATGTGACAAAATCATTTTTTAAAAGCTTTCATCTAGAGATGGTGACATGAGTTGTATCACTTGGGGGGCTGGGCCCTTATGAGGGTGGTCACCAGATGACCTGCCCCCAGCCTCCCAAGGAAAGCAAGGTGTGAGTGGGGCCCACTCAGGTACGCACTTTCTGCTCCTCCTGCTTTCCTGGCAGTCCCTGTAGCCAGTCCTTGAGGCCTCCATCGGTCTCTGCCCCTCACCCAGGTACCTGGCCCAGACACTGCGTGGTATGCTAAGGGGCAGGGATGGCCTTCCCATCTGGACGCCAGCATGCCACACCCAGGCTCTCTTCTGCTCTCCTCTCCCTGTCTTGGTTGGCTGCATCCAGCTGACCACCCCGGCCCCATCCCTCTCTCCGCTCCTGCCCAAGCTGCCGGAGAGAGTGTGGTTACCTTCCAGTGGGGCCTTTGCACTCCAGGTTTCCTCACCTCTCATCCGTCATCTAAATGTGCTACTTCTGAATCTTTTAAAGTTGTGAATGTGATTAAATCACAGTTCATCAACATCAAACCCGGGGTGATGATTAACTGTAGCCTTCAGTCAGTGTGTGAGATGCCATCAGCTTAAATGATGTTTTAAACATTATGACAGCATAGAAATAGGTGGAAAAGCCACAGGTGAAGGCCAAGTGTACCATGTCTCATGTTGCCTCAGTTAGAGCCACAGCGAGGAATTGAGCAGAAAGCAAGTAAAAAATAGTACATATTTCTGGTCATGTTATACAATTCTAATTTTAAATTGGCGATATTAAAAATGTTTTTCCTATACTTAAGTTTGAGAATGGCAGAAAAGACTTCTGTAGGCACTGAATTTTATCTTGAGAAACATTCCAGAGCCGATTTTAGAAAGTCTCTTTTTTTCTCTATAAAAAGAATTATTAAAAAACTAAGGATAGCTATTGTTTGATAACTGGGTCACTTTGCTTACATGTACAAAAGAAGTGTTGTTGGACATGCCTATCTGATTTATGACTAAAACTCAATTTCATTTTGTGCTTTCAAGAAATTCTGGCCGCTGCAAGGAGCTCCTCTTGCTCTGCTTTTCTGATTTCCTAATTGGGCGATTCCTTGAAGTAAATGTTGTCAGTAGCGAGGAGTCTCTAATAGCTGTCCGCGAACCGTTTTATTGGAAAAAGCCTAAAACTTCCCAAGTGTTGGCACCCACAAAAACAACAGTTGTCGTGACCACACAGAAAAGGTATGTCAGGAAGGTAGGCATGCGGTTCTGGGTCTGGCAGTGTCACTGTGCGTGGGAGGGGCGGTGCCAGGCACGTGCTGGCAGGCAGCATCACCAGCAGGCCCAGGAGAGAAGGCAAGCATCCCCAGTTGGCCCAGGAGCGGCAAAGGGAGGGAAGCTTGGGGCGGGCCTTGTTTTAGGAGTGACTGTAGAGGGAGGGGTCCTCTCCACAGAGCTCTCAAGGCCGGTTCTGCCTCTTGCTGCTTGGCAGCATGTGAGTCCAGGAAAGCGACCTGCACTTCTCCGGCCCATCCTTCCTGGCTTGGCTCAAGGCAACTCTCAGAGCAGCAGGGCCAGGCTGCCTTGGCTGTGACCATCTCTTGTGTCTCCAGGAGGCCTGGGTAGGCAGCACAGCATCCCACGTAGTTGGCCTTGGGGGCCAAAGATGTAAGGTTGCCGAAGCCTGTCCAAAGCTACGGTACCATGTAAGAAAGAAATTAAGAAAAGCAACATGTTGTTTGTTAGTGACTTGTAGCTGGAAGACTTGGAGACCAGCCAGACTTTAATTGGGTGTAGTCTCAGGAAAGTGTTTCAGGCCCACATGTTCTCTCTGCACTTAAAAACTAAAAAGCACTGGGCACGGTGGCTGAGCCTGTCACCCCAGCACTTTGGAAGGCCAAGGCCGGAGAATTGCTTGAGCCCAGGAGCTTGGAGACCAGCCTTGGCAACATAGCGAGACCTCGTCTCTACAAAAAAAAAATTTAAGGATTAACCCAGCCTGTAATCCCAGCATTTTGGGAGGCCGAGACGAGAGGATTGCCTGATCCCACGGGTTTGAGATCAGCCTAGGCAACTTGGTAAGACCTCGTCTTTACAATAAATCACACACACAAAAAAAACTAGCCAGGGATGGTGGTGTATGTGTTCCAGCTACTTGGAAGGATGGCCTGAGCCCAACAGGTCAAGGCTGCAGTGGCCATGAGCATGCCACTGCACTCCAGCCTGGGCAACAGAGTGAGACTATGACTCAAAAAAAAAAACCTAAAAACTAAAAAGCTCTGAAAAGCATATTTTTTTGAAAGTTTTATGCCAGAAAAATCTGACCTTTCTGACTAAATACCCATGTGCAGGTATTAGTGACTGTCTCACATAAGGTGACTGTTCATCCATGAGCTGCAATAATAGGCGGCTTTGGACTCAGATGCTACCTCAGAACCCTCTGAGGGTGAGATGTATCACTTTTCTAATACTGGGAAATTCTGAATTTCAAGTCACATGTTGCCCCAATGACAGTTTAAGATAAGCGATTATGGATTAACTTTCAGGCTAAAGGAAAAATTCATTAGCAGGGAAGAGTACTGTGTGGCTGTTTGCCTTCAGAGTTTGACCATTGTTTGAACCACAGCCCTACCACCAAGAAGCTGTGTGACCTTGGGCAGGTTTTTAACCTCTCTGGGCCTTATTCTCGTTTGTAAAATGGTAGTCCCCACCCTCATGTGGTTTGAAGATTAAGCGAGGTAAGGCATGTAAAATGCTCAGTTTGCTGATGCAGGGAAATCCACAAGTAGTCATGATTCCTAGTCGCAAGGGGGACACCCATGGGATGGAACCCAGAAAGGAAGCGAGCAGTGACTGTGACCTGCAAGGCAGCACAGAGTGCCGGGTGATTGAGTTTCCATGACAGCAGCCAGTAAGAACCAGCCCCTGGTTCTCTAGTACCAAGCAACTCTAGTAGTTACAACCGGGCTTAAAGAGTGGAAGAGTGGAAGATGCAGACCACCACCCACAGTGTCTTAGTCCCCCCTGCCAGATGCTTCCCTTTGAATATTAACATGTTGTTACTGTGTGGAAGCATCTCGAAAACAAGGACATTTCAGTCAAGTTGGTGTCCCAATATGCCTGGTCCAGGTTGGCTTGAGCGTACCTGGAACACCAGGTATCTGCCCCTTCGGGTGTTGGTGAGTGCCTGTGCCCAGGGGTGTCCAGCTGTGGCTGGCCATGACAGGCCCTGTACGCCCTCCAGGACCCCAGCATCAGGCAGCTCCAGCCCTTCTTAGCTGTGTTCACTTAGCAGGTGGGTCCTGGACCTTCTGTGCCACCACCTTCCCCACTGAGTTCCACCCGTCCTACCTGGTCGACTGGCCCACTCAGCACATCTGTTCAGCCCATCTACCAAAGTGTGCAGTAGCCATCCTGGTTCTGCTTTATCCTGTTCATATTAGTCATCAGTTGTTATCACTTGCTGAGTGCCCACTGCTTTCCAAATACCCGTCCCACGTATGCACTGAAGTGACCCTTGCCACAGAGGCAGAAGGCACCCCGCTTTCTGTGGAGGGCTGAGCTGACAGTGGGTAAAGTCAGGGGATTGGGCACGCACTGCTGCCTCTCCACTCAGAGTCACACTGAAGTGGAGAGGTGGAGAGGAGGAAGGTCCTCACGCCTTTCTTCACGGACCCGAGGGGTAGCAGCCTCACCCTGACCTCACTTCGCTGTTCTCCCGGGCCCCTCTTCCCCTGCCTTCCCCTCTCCTGTCATTTCAGCTGCTGGGTTAGACTTGCCCCCAGCAGCAGGGATGCCCAAAATCCTGCTGTCGGCAGGATTTTGGTGATTCCTCGTACAACCCTTTCTAGGGAAAGGCAGAAATTTTCGGGTGAAACTGCATTTCCCCAGGGAAATTACAGGCTGAGAAACAAAACAAAAACAAATCAAACGGCAGGACCCTTGGAAGACAGAGCTACCTTCTTCAGAAGTGTTCTTTGCAGGAATAGTATGGATAGAGTTTCTAGTGTTCATGTCCTTATTTAAAATACAGTAGTAAGGGTAAGTAGGGCAGCCCCTTTGGGTCCCCTCCCAATGCGAAAGCTTTTCTGTTCTCTCAATAAATCCTGCTTTCTCATTTAAAAAAAAAAAAAAGAGTAAGTAGAAGGTTAAAAACAGCTGTTTACAAAATCACTGGTTCCAGGAGTTTCTGGGAGTTCCAGCTCAGTTGGCAGGTAGGAGAGCCCTACCAGGGTTGTCTGAAGATCCCAAAGCTGAAACAAAAGCTTGCAAGCTAGTGACTTGGGCTAACTTTTCATATGCCATTTCTTTTCAGGGAGTGAATGCCTGGTGATTAAGAATTAATTTTAACTAGTGAATTTAATTTTTTAAGGAACTCAAGACGACAACTTCCAAGTTTTCTTCCACAGTATCCAATACCAGATAGACTTAGAAAATGTGTCGAACAAAAAATTGACATCCTGACTTTCCAGCCGCTCCTTGCAGAGGTAGGAAAAGTGCCTGAGGCTCGTGGAATGTTGACCTCTTTACCACCTTTGAGTTGTTTTCTTTTTTAAAAAAATTTATTTATTTTTACTTTTTTTCTTAATACATGTTTTTTATTTTAAAATTGTGGGGTACAGTTAAGGGTTAGGTATACAAATATGCATTGTGCGGGTACCCTTGTTGATGAAGTGTGCCCCCCCATCCCTAGACAGATATTGACTACTGTTAATCTCACATCCCTTCCCCTCCCTGCCCCCCCATAGTTTCCCACCACTGTCAATCCTTTTCTTACAGTATTACGATAGTTGTTCAAGGTCCACTTATGAGTGAGAACATATGATACTCAGATCTTTGTTTCTGCAAGAAATCACTCAGTATTATAAACTCTAGTTCCATCCAGGTTGCTGCAAAATTCATGATTTTGTTCTTTTTTTGAGTTGTTTTCTGACAAGAGCAAGACAAGCCCTTCTCAGATTCAGACCTCCTCTTGGCCCACTTTGACCACAGGCAGCTAGGATAGCAAGGCACCTACCCCTTGAGGGATGAAGCCCAGAGCACTCTTCCTGCTGAGTCTGCTGCACGCCAGGAGGCAGGCATCTGTGGCCTTACTTAGTCGTGTGCTGGGACTTTTGAGGGCTGAGGCAGAAGAGGGGCCAGGGCTGCCTCTGCCTCTAGCCTAGCCTATCTCTGCCCGACCAGGAGGCCTAGTTATGAGCAAGAGGCATTCCAACCTCTTGACAACAGAGAGCAAAGAACTGGCAGGGCAGGGTCTGAGGAGGAGAGCCCATGTACCCACCTGCACAGAAGACAGGACCACATTCTCAGTGGAGTGGCTGGAGAAGAGAAGTCTAGGAAGGAAGACAAAGCTATTAGACTTGGCAGTCATAGGGGAGAACATTGCCCTCCCTCTGGAGGGCATTTTCTGTAAGGATTTGAGGTGTTCTGAGAATCTCTGGCTAAGCTAGAGTTCTGGTGCCAGAGCAGCTAGCTGCCCTGCACTATGGGAAAGTGAGGGGAGCTGAACACATAATGCCTGATTATCTAACCCATGGCCAGAGACCCTCTCATGGGAACTCGCTGACACTAGCAGATGCCCTTGTGGCTCTTGTGTGACCCACCCAGCTTATCTGTGCCTGACCCTTGCTGTGGTACCGGGAGCCCAACCTTGTGTCCCACACCCCCACCAGGCGTCCTGGGACAGCCTCAGACTCTTCAGATGCAAGGTGTAAATTCACCACACCTCTACAACAGGAAACAAGTTCAAAGACTTTTTACTTACAGATCCCAGGTGAGGAGGACCACAGGTTAGAAGGGCAGTCCTCTGTCCTCCATCACCTGGTCACTTTAAGTTTGCAGACAAATACCTGAATGGTCCACTTAAAAGACACAGCAGGAAAAGTGGGGATCCCAGTCTGCTGGACTGTGGAAATGCCTCAGTTCTCATCCCTGGCCACCAGCTTGGTGTTTTGATGACCGTAGTTTCATGGTAAGTTTTGAAATCAGGAAGTGTGAGTCCTCCAGTGTCCTTTTTTGGGGGGGGCAGGTACATTTTTGTTTTTTGGGATTTTTCGTATGAATTTTAAGTTGGGCTTTTTTCCTTATGCAAAAGATGTCATTGGAATTTTGATGGGAATTGCATTGAATCTGCAGATTGCTTTGTGTGGTATGAATGTTTTGACAATATTAAGTCTTCCATGAACATGGAATATGCTTCCATTTATTTATGTCTTTACTATCTTTCAGTGGTGTCTTATAGTTTTCTCTGTACAGGTCTTTCAAATCTTTGGTTAAATTAATTCTTAAGTAGTTTTTTGTTTTTTTGGTTTTTTTTGAGTTGGAGTCTCACTCGGTCGCCCAGACTGGAGCGCTCCCGGCCACCACAGCCTCGACCTGCTGGGCTCTGGCAATCCTTCCACCTCAGCCTTCCAAGTAGCCGGAATTACAGGCATGCGCCACCACGCCCGGCTGATTTTTTGATGTATTGTAGAGATGAGGTCTCGCTGCCCAGGCGGGTCTCGAACCTGCGGGCTCAGGCAATCCACTAACCTCAGCCTCCCAAAGGCGTGGGATTACAGGCTGAGCCACCGAGCCTGGCAGTTTTTTTTTTTTTTAATTGGAGTCTCACTCTGTCACCCAGGCTGGAGTGTGGTGGCACACTCACAGCCACCCCAGCATTGACCTGCTGGACTCTGGTGATTCTTCCACCTCAGCCTTCTAAGTAGCCGGAACTACAGGCACACACTGCCATGGCAGCTAATTTGTATTGTAGAGACGAGGTCTTGCCAAGTTGTCAGGCTGGTCTCGAACCCAGCATGCTCATGCAATCCGCTCGCCTCAGCCTCCCAAAGTGCTGGGATTACAGGCTGAGCCACTGTGCCTGGCCTATTTTATTCTTTTTGATGCTATTGTACATAGAATTGTTTTTATATTTCCTTTTCAGATTATTCATTATTAGTGTTTAGAAGTGCAGATAATTTTTGTAGTTTGACTTTTTGTATCCTACTACTTTGCTGAATTTATGTATCTGATATTTTTGTAGAGTTTTTAGGATTTTCTACAAATAAAATTGTGCCATCTGCAAACATAATTTTTCTTACATTCCAGTTTAGGTACATTTTATTTATTTTTCTTGCCTAATTGCTGTGCCTGTAGCTTTCAGTTATGTGTTGAATAGCAGTGGTGAAAACAGACATCCTTGCTTTGTACTTGATCTTGGAGTGAAGCTCTCAGTCTTTTACCATTGAGTATGATGTTTGTTATGACTTTTCATATATGGCTTTTATTACATTGAGTTGGTTTTCTTCCATGTTTGGTCAGTGTTTTTATTATGAAATGCTGTTGGATTCTGTCAAATGGCTTCTTCTATATCAATTGTGATGATCATGTGGGGGGGTTTTCCCCCTTCTATTAATGGTGGTGCATTACACTCATTGACTTCTAATGGGGGGGAGGGGGGAGAAATGGGTGTTTAATCTGATATCATGGAATCAGGGAGCAAGTAGGTTTATTCACCCAAAAAGCTTGCTGCAGTCATTGATTTCAAATGTTGAACTATCCTTGCATTCCAGGAATAAATCTCAGTTGGTCCCGGTATATAATTCTTTTAATATGCTGCTGAATTCTATTTGCTAGTATTTTATTGAGGATTCTTCATAAATGCTCATAAGGCATATTGGTCTGTGGTTTTAATTTCCTGTGGTGTCTTTGTCTGGCTTTATATCAGGATAATGCTGTCCTCGTTAAATGAGTCAGAGAAGCTGGGCTCAGTGGCTCAGCCTGTAATTCCGCACCTTTGGAAGGCTGAGGTTAGTGGATTGCCTGAGCCCGCGGGTTTGAGACCCTCCTGGGCAGCGAAACCTCATCTCTACAGTAAATCAAAAACTCAACTGGGCATTGTAGCGCATGCCTGTAATTCCGGCTACTTGGAAGGCTGAGGCAGAAGGATCGCTGGAGCCCAGCAGGTCGAGGCTGTGGTGGCCGGGAGCGGCCACTGCACTCCAGTCTGGGCAACAGAGTGAGACTCCAACTCAAAAAAAAGTCAGAGAGTGTTCATGTTCCCTTCTCTTTAATTTTTTTTGGAAGTTTGAGAAGGATTGCTTTTAGTTATTCTTAAATCCTTGGTATAATATGTTCATGGAACCATTAGGTCCAAGACCTTTCTTTTCAGGAGATTTCTAGTTACTGGTATAATCTTTGTAGTAGTCATACATTTACTCAGATTTCTCATTTACCTGTGGTTTGGTCTTGGTAGGTGTTGTGTTTCTAGATATGTATCCATTGCATCTACTTATTGGCATATAATTTTCCTTTCTCTCGTAATTCTTTCTATTTTCTGAAGAGTCTATAGTAATGTTCCAACTTTTGTATCTAATTTTAGTAGTTTGAATCTTCTCTTGCTTTTTTTCCCCGTCAATCTAACTAAAGGTTTGTCAATTTTGTTGATCTTTTCAGAGAGCTAGCTTTCGGTTTTACTGATTTTCTCTAATTTTTTCAATTCTTCTATTTCAACAGCTTTATCTCTGCTCCAGTTTTCATTTCCTTCCTTCTGCTATCTTTGAGTTTAGTTTATTCTTCTCTTTCTGGCTCTTAATAGTGCTCCTAGCCATATACTCCCTCTGAGCACCGATTTCGCTTTGGTGTATTGTGGGTTTGTTTTCATTCGTCTCCTAGTATTTTCTTCTTTCTCTTGTGATTTCTCCTTTTTTTTAAAAGCAGGATTTACTGCGAGGAGAGAAAAGCTCCTATAGTGGAAGGAAACTTGAAGGGGTTGCCCATGATTTCTTCTTTTGCTTTATTTCTTATCTTTGTTCATTTACACACGTGTATATTTTTCTAGCAGCTTTTAAGGTTTTCTCCTTATCATTAATCTTAAGCAATTTAATTTGGAGTAGCAGTTTTTTCCGTCATATGTTTGTGCTTGGAGCTCATGTGGGCTTCTAGTTTTCCATTTTGGAGACATTCAGCCTCACGTTTTTAGGTGTACTCCTGGCCTACTTTCAGGCTCTGGTACAGGTTCCCCCAGCTCAGCAATGTGTGGCACTTCTTCTACAGACTTTTTTCTTGTGTGTTGAATGTGGGGTCATTTGTCTTGCCATGTCCTCACTGATTGTTTATTTACCTGATATTGTCCATCTAGTGTATGTTTTTATATCATGTTGAGTTGTCTTCACTCTGTAAGTTCCTTTTCGATCTTTTGTGTGTTTTCTGTCTCTACTTAATATGCCCAGTCTTCTCCCAGTTGGGCTGTCCACCACGTAGTTATAACATATGTCTCCGTGTCTCTCTCTACTAACTCTGTTTTTGTTGTTCCTGATTCTTTTTATATTGTTGGTGTTTTTCTCCTCATTATAGGTTGTAGTTTTCTGCTTCTTCCTATGCCGGTAATGCATCCCCCCTACCCCCGTCACAAAGTTTTTTCTGTGGGGTCTTCATGACCAAGGAGGGAGAATTGCGAGTCTCTGGTGAGTAGAAGCCCAGGATGCTGTTGACGCTCTATGCTCTGAAGGATGGCCCCTGCCACAGAGTGGCCCAGCCTCACATGTCCATCATGCAGAGGGGTGAGGCCCGGACTGACACATGATTCTCTCATGTGATGACATCTCACACACTGCTCAAGTGCTGAGGTACTGGCTCAGAATGGATGCTCTGACACCTTTCAGACCACTCTGTGCTGCTCTTTCTTCCTCAGCACTCAGCCACTTAGACCTCCAGCTCCATCTCCTCAACTCACAGGCTGTGTGCCTTTCCTGGGTTCCCTGCGTCATGGCCTGGACTCCGGCTAGCTTGGAGCTGGGGTGTTCAGGGAGCCTTCAGATTGCTTCTCGGGGTCATGGCCTTGCACTGCCTGAGGTTCTCTGTTCGAAAACCATTTTTTCCTATTTCCCTGTCTCTTTTTTTAAAAGTTTTTTCAGGTAGAAGGTACTTTCAGGTCCTACTACTACTCTTGTCCAGACCTGGAATTTGTATCCTCTTTCACAGATGTAGAGGCCAAACTCTGCCCTTTCCAGAATGAGCTCAGAAGATCTGGAAAAAGAAAAGGAGACAGTGCAGGGAGGGATACTGTCCAGCTGGAGCCCTGCAGCCCCTTGTGCTGCAGGCCTGGGAAGCATGCCAAAGCTTCATAAGCTGACCGTGGCTACCTTCTTGTTGGGGCTGGCCATCAAACCTAAGCACTCCAGAGCCGCTGCTTTCCCGGACATGGATGTGCTCAGTGTGTGGCTCTGCTCTCACTGACTTGGTGACTTTGGGTTTCTTTTCAGCTTCTGAACATGTCAAATTACAAGCAGAAGTTTTCGACTTTGCTGTGGCTTGAGGAGACTCATGCAGAAGCGGAACTGAGAGAATATAACATGAGTGGCGTCACCTTAAAAAGGAATGGGAATTTACTGGTTCTGGAGGTCCCAGGCTTGGCTGAGAGCAGACCCTCTCTGTATGCAGGTGTGTTTGTTACTTGGCATGTTTTCCTGATAGGCAAACCACACTTAAGGAAAAGAATATGAGGGGGCACCCAGAAAAACTCAGAATTTATTTATTAAAAAATTATGTATTTATTCTTACGTGTTTAAACTCCAGTCACCTTCAAAGTGCTCATTTTTTGATAAATGTATTTATCAAGATGCTTTTTCTACTGCTCGAAACAGTTTTTGATCTCATCAATTTTGATGCCTTTTAGTGCTTCGCCATTTTTGGTTTCACTTCTGTTCACATCAGCAAAATGTCTCCCTTTGAGAACCTTTTCATCAGGGAAATAAAAAAGATTCCTGGGGGCAAGATCGGGTGAATAGGAAGGGTGGGGCACAGGGGTCATGCCATTTGGGGCCCAGAACTGCTGAACATTCAGCATAGTGTGGGCAGATGTGCTCATAAAATTACCCAGTTGTGAAATTGGCAAACACTGAAAGAGTCTCTGGGGTGGGGGCAGGATCGAAAAAAGAAAGAATCTCCCCAAAAAATTCACTGAAGCTGAACACAGCGTCTCAACAAGACTAGCTGGTACACTGATGCCAGTGGGTTCCTGGAACACTAGCAGGGGAGTCCCGTTTTACAAGCCGCCTGCCAGCCAAAAAATAATCTGTGGTTTTTTGGGGTCTCTTGTACTTTTCAACTGGCAGCACTCCAGTCACATTACTTAATTTTCTTTCCTTTGGGTTGGAATTTCACTTGAAACTTGATTAGCAACCTGTGAAGTTATATGTAAGCAGGTTTCTTTGTCACACATTATTTTTAAGCAGCTGGTCTCAGTAATGTTTTATTCCACTTCCTCAATGTTTTGGATTTTATAGTAAAGCACATCCATATGTGATTGTATTAGCTTTAAACATGGTCATATATTTTAAAACTAGGTGACAAGCTGATTTTAAAAACCCAAGAGTGCAATGGACATGTCATCGAATACATCAGCTATGTGGTTGAGGTGAGAGGACATTCTCAATGAGCTAATGTTGGCCTAGCCCATCCGACAATCAGCAAGGTAACCATCCTGCCTGCGGCTCTTGGGAAGAGTGCTCCCTTGAACATTGGCCATGTTTTGGAAAATTTGGAGATACACTGAATCTTTAAGTAATTTTTGATATATCAAGGGAAGAATACTGCAAGAAATACCATAGTTTTCAACTGTGTAAAGCATATTTGCCTTCTGAGTTACATGTGAGTCATGATTTTTGTATTTAGTTAAATTTGGGAATTCTGCTTATATTCTGGAAGAGCTGGCAGCATGGATGCCTCAGAGTTTACAGCTCTCGTGGGTGAGGGGGATTTTGTTAGTCTGTGGCTCATGGATGGTTTGTCCCGCTCACATCCTAAGTGTAGCACTGGGTAGTGATGCTGGGTTCTGCATGGGAAGGGAAATACTGTCTCTGTGTGTCAGAGATGAGGAATGCATTGCAGCATAGAAGATTAAAAGGGAAATGCCGAAGTCTTTTTTCTGAAGGGAAAAAGGGTTGAGAGAGCTAGAAGAGTCTGATAAAAATTCAAGGAAGAAACAGCATATGACCTTTGCCCCACATACGCTCCATTCTGCACCTTAACTCAGGGTTCATGCTGTGGTCTGATTCATAGAATGTGGTATTTTCCAAGAGGACAAAACCTTGAGGGTTTCAGAGATCTAGTAGTGACTCTGTCCCGCATTTGTGGACTGAGATGGAAGACATGGGTTTTGCCCTCGGTTTGCTTCCACCTCGGTGAAGAAGATGAGCACTGTGTGAGAGACAGTGGCAGTTTCCTGAGGATGCCAGGAATTCAGCTGCAAGTCACTGCTGCATGCAGGAAAGATTTGCCAGTCTGCTTGAGGAGAGGAGGTGTTGGCCTCAGAGATAGCTTTAAAAGACAAAACGAGTTTTGGTAGCCAAAAAGGGAACGGAAGGTCGTTTCAGACAGCGTGAAGGACTCAAGTGTCAACGTAGAGTCTGGTGCCTTCTTAATTGAGGAGTGCAGACCCCATCTAGGCCAGGACCATTAGTTACATCAATCAGTAAGAAGCCTGCACCAGCTGGTGGGAGCAAAGAGGTTGTTGTTTTTAGACCAGTGGGACATTCCCAGAATGGCCCTAAGGAAATCAAGCCAGGCTTGGAGAACAGAGGTTGGAGGCAGTTTGCAGGACAAACCACAGCAACAAAGTGCCAGAACCAGTCTCATGTGGACAGACAGGAGGCAGCACAGCTGGCTGCTCTGGCATCTTGGTGGTAGATACTTGTGCTGTGGCCGTCCTCAAAAGGTCCTCGGCCCTTGTGCCTCAGGGAAACTAGATTCTAACTGGAAATCCAGGCTGCCTGATTAGCTATACAAGCATCTCGAGCTCAGGCCACAGCACAAGGGATGATGGACACCGCCTGCGTCCTTCATGAGAGGCCATCTTCTCCTGGCATGGAGATTCACGGGGACTGCCGTCCCCAGAACCGAAGGTGGGGGCAGGTTCTGGGAGGCTGGAAAACATCTTTTTTTGCATGAGAGTATCCGTAGACACCCTTCTCTTTGTACTTGGGCTTGTAGAGAGCTTGATTCTGATTAATACCCTGCCCTGACCCGGTAAGCACACAACCTCACTTCTCCAAGTCATGTCACTATGCCGCCTTCAAATCCTACATCTCGGGGGATGTCTTTTCCCAGGCATTCCATGAGGCTGTGTTGATAGCCTGCAGCATGGGCTCAGTCACAAAGCCAGCTGCTGCCGGCATGCCCCATTTTGGAGTCAAGGAAAAGGGATGTAAGTAGGAGAGGAGAGAAAGACAAAGCCACATCCAGGACAGATCCGGCAGATGGGAGACCAGAGCTAGAATGTACTCTTTGTCTCCCGTCTTCCTGCTCAGGCCCTCCACGTTCAGCAGCCCTTGAGATAGTTGGGGAGGAGCTGCCCGTGCTCACGGGATCCCTCTGTGCCATGTCATGTTTTCCACTTGCTCTCCTCCATGGTGTGGCAGTGTGGCAGATGCTCTTTCCCACTGCCTCACTTGCGGTTGTTTTGGTGGCCTGACATGGAGGGTCCATCAACCTCACCGGCGCTCTGTACCCACTTCCACTGTGGACCGGGGGCTGGCACGGGAAGCCCAGGATGGCCAGGTGACCAGTTGTGCCGAGGCAGGGAGCCTTGTGTGCCGAAACCTCAAAAGAAGCAGAACCAGAGACCTCAGAAGTGAGGGCCTGCCCCCCACCGCCAGCCCTGGCTCCTGAACCATGAGGCAGGGCTAGGGAATGGCAGCGTCACACAGTGACCTGCTCAGAGCTGATGCCCCGGTCTCAGGAAGGTGGAGGCACCCATGGAGACCCTGTAGTAGGACATCCCACCGTTCCATGACACCGGCTGCTTCCAAGTGATGCAGTTCATGGTAGGAAACGCACAGATGTCAGCCTGTCACTTCCCTTGATTGTCTAGCACTTCACTTCTTGGCTAGAGCAGTGGTGTGGGGGCCCATGACAGTCCCAAAGGCCTCAGGAGGGCTCCACAGGTGGTGTGGAGGGCAGAGGAGAGTATCAGGAAGGAGTGGTTATTCCGAGGCCACGTGGCTGTCTCCCACTGCCAGGGCATCAGCTACCAGGGATGGCCAGAGCCCTGGGGAGAGGAGTTGCCTGCTGCCAGTCCCATGTCCAGCGCTGACTTCAGCCTGGAGGGTCATCCTGTGTGCTGGGAGCACATGGTGGAGGAAGTTCTTCCACTTGCCACCCTCACAATCAGCTGTTGTTTCCAGATGTGCAGCTGGACTCTCCGGCCCCCTCGTGTGGTCCAGACTACCTGGTGCTCACTTGTCCATGGCCTTTCCATTCCGGTTTCATGTGTCATCTGTCAGTTCCCATAAATGGCCACGGCAGCATGTGGTGTCCTTGAGGCACGGGTCTGTAGACAGCAGTTGCTGCTGACCCTTGTGGTGGGTGACCAGTCGTCTTCTCTTGTGGCTTTGTTTTCACTTCTGTTAATCTCTGGAGAACCCAGGGGCCTGTGCTGAGCGTGCTTTCCCTCTAAAGGAATGGTGGTGAGCGAGGCCATAGACGAGACTAGGCTCACCTTCCCTGCCGCACACTCTTCTCCCATGCCGAGATGAGGCCTACCTTCCCCTCTGTGCGCACGCACTTGCGCTCTCTCTCTCTCTCTCTCTCTCTCTCTCACACGCCACAGGCTCTTCTGCAGCTCAGGGTCACCTCCAGTCATGGCTTCCCAATTCTGTGCTAGCATCAGCCCTGGCCCGGGGCTCGCACAGTCCGCTGGAATAGCTGGAGCTGCTTTTTCAGCTCAGGGTTCTCCTTCCTATTTTTCTTCCCAGTTTCCTCAGCAATGCCCGTTAGTCAGGAAAGAGCACACAGAGCTCTCTGGGGGCAGGATCTGGCTCTGGCTGGAGGACTTCTAGAATATCTAGTTCCTGCACCTCTAGGAGGGTGATGTCCTGTCATGATCTTTTTATCTAGGCTTTATTCTGGCAGGCGCCACTCAACTGCACTTGTGGTTGTTTTGTTTGTGTCTTGTGAAGTCAGTGGCTTCTCCTCACCCTGTGTTCTCAGAACCTTGGCGGGGGCTGTTGCCCAGTGAGTAGAAGCCTAGTCAGGATTGGTGGCACAGTGGCTGCCCTGACCAGTTCCCCCTACTTGTATTGTTCAGTGGCATCATGGTTTAATCCTTTTCAACTAATTTTGCAGGTAGTTACCAAATCTTAGCTCAAAGCCAAACAATTCATTTTTCATGATGAGTTGCTAGGCATAGATATAATATTCCAAAAAATCAAATACAGAGTTAGAGAAATTAGATTGTTGTTTCAGCCCCTCCTGGGCCTTGTGGGCCAGGCAGCTATTTTGGGAAGAGCTTTGTTGTGGTTGTAGGCTAGCCACCTCTGCTGAGGGGAGAAGCTGGAAGCGTCTAGTTCCTGGCGTAGCCCTGCCGCTGCCCAAGTGATAAATTATGTGGCCTTTTGGTTGATTGAGGAATGATGGAAATGGATCTGAAATAAGAGTGACCTCTCTACTAAAGCAGAAGATTCTTTGTCTTGCCTTCCATTGGCTCAGTTCCGTATTTGGAAGGGGCGAACGAGCGAGATACAGAAAACTGAAGAGAAGAAAACCTCCTTTTGGAACTGTCTCCCCAGCTGCTCCTCACCGCCTGTCTTTTTGCTTGTTCTAACTTGACTCTGCATTTATAAGTAGCAAAGGCCAAAGAAACAGAAGATACATTTAGGAGTTTTATACCAAGAACTTTTTTTATTTTTGAAAACTGCTATTCTGTGGAGGGAAATGTATATCAATTTCCTGTCTGATTTTTTTTTTTAAACAGTATTTCTTATATCCTTAGATTTTGAAGATTAAGACAAATATAAATACATATCTGCACATTATTTTTAGTAGTTGTGCGAGTAAGAAGAATGAGGTTTATATTTTAAGGGCTTTCTCATGTGGGTGTTTTGCCACTGGAGTTGATTGCTCATGTCTTTAACAGGGGTTTAATATTATATTTTTGTTCTATCACCTTGATGACGTTACTTGCCCGGACTTGAGCCCGTCTGTCTTTCTAGCTATGACCTTGTCATGAATAGTGTTTGTACTTATTGTGCAAACGTCCATGTATTACCTAAGTAAGCAACATCATAGTGTCATAATTCAAGGAAGTTGAAAGAGGTGAAAACAGACATAGCTTTTTTCCCCTTCCCCTGCCTTTTTAAATGTGACAAATACTTTTTATGTTCCCCTTCCCCCCTTCAGAAATGTCAGGAACTGGGTGGTTGGGGGTGAACATTTGAGGGGCAGAGAGAATGAGCCACTCAGAGCCTGGTTTCTTCGAACTTCATTGTAAGTCATGCTGCTGGCCAGGTTACTTAAGTGTCCTTTGACCAGGAATACCTCGTGGCACGTCCAGCTGGCAGATGCAAGGAGTTCGGGAAACAGGACTGCAGAGGTTATGCTCTGGGATCCTGGCCATGGGGTTGGATGCCTCACCTTGCTGAAAAGAGATACCGGATCTAAACGGCGCAGCATGACTTTGTTCCTGCTTGGCTAAATGTCTTGACACCAGTCAGCTAAGTCACCCACTGCCACCTTCGACAAACATGGAGAGCACCTACTCTGAGAAGAAGGTGGGTTTGGAGTAAACCAGTATCAACATAATTCCTCTACTGGCTTTTTTAACAGTGGACCTCTGTGGACTACAGGAGATACTTGACACCAGCCCTCTTTGTTCCGTCATGATTCAGTGGATGCTGGTGTCTTTAAGGGACCACCTGCTGGAATCACAGGGAACCCCTCTGGAGTGTGGGAAACCCCACCTAGTACCTAGCAACCCTCCAAGATGCTAGTTATCCAAAAAGTTGGCAAAGAGGCTCCTGCTGCTGCCTTTTCTGCTCAGTCACCTTACAGGATCTCGCCATGCAAATGGGAACAAATTGTCATCCATGGTTCCAAGTGTCTGGAAGAACTTGGTTCCTAAGCCTGCACCACCTCCTTCTGAGCCTAATGCGTAGAAAGCTAATGGAATGGAACATGAGTCGGGATCCTTTTCCTATAGCGGATTCTGCCTTCACCAGTCCAGTCTCTGTTACCAAACCAGTGGTACTGTCTGCTGGTACAGCTCTGAGTTCTCCCAAAGAGAGTCCCTCGGGCACCACCCTCCAGTTGAGATGAGTCCCTCTCGGCTGACCACACTGGACTGCAAACCACCAGTAGGAAGAGTGAGTTCCTGAAGACTCCGAAAGATGACCAGAATGGAGACTTCTCAGGGAACAGAGATGGTGACTGGAGGATTTGGAGGACAATAGCACATCTGAACCAAAGGACAATGGAGAAGAAGGCTGTCACCGAATGGTCTTGCTCTTCCAGAAATGGAAGAAATGGGGGTGTCCTCTCACACTCTCTGGAAGCAGAGCACAGGCTGTTGAAGCCAGTGGGCTGGCAGGAATATCCTGAAAATGATGAGAATTGCCTTTCCCTCCCAGAGGGTAAGCTCAAAGAATTCCACACGAAGTCAGAACAGTTGAGGAAAAATGGCTTTGGGAAGAATGGCTTCTTTAGAGGTGCAGTTCTAGCCTGTTCTACCCTTGGAGAAGCACTTGGAAAGCAGAGTTTGAGGACTCAGACACAGAAACCAGTAGCAATGAAATATCAGATGATGGATATAAATATAAATGCTCACAGTTAAATCTGACCCAGTAAACTCTGTGTGCTTAGGGAGTACACAAAGGCAATCATTCTTTTCCTTTTCTTTTCTTGTTGGATACTTCATGCACAAGGGAGGTGATCATATCCCAAAGAGAGAGCAATTGGCTTGTTTGGCTTCTGTTGTTGTTTTTTCCCTGTTATCTGCTTAACAGAGAGAAGGTTGTGTGATGGGAACAATTGTTAAGATGTATGTACACACACACACACACACACACACACACACACACACAGAGAAAGAGAGTATATTTGGGGTAATGTGTGAGTGGGAGCAGGCAGTGCAGAGAAGAGGAGACACAGATCTGCAGCGACAACTTCTCCCAGCCCCTGGGGTACTCCCCCCTTTGCTCAAGCAGTCATTGTCAATGACAAAGTCACTATTGAAGTTATAATTGTATTAAATCAGTGCTAATAATTTGAATATTTTATTTTGGCTGTTTGGGTAAATTTAACCCTTAATTAACCAAGCATATGTGGTATTTTTGTTTTTTCTTTTTCCTTTTTGGGTACAGCTATAAAATATTTGGATATAGGGAATGTTGTATCATTCTTACAGCCTTGATATTGAAGGTGGACTGTAAAATACAAATTTTTGTGAGATTTCAAAGGTTAATATTGTTTTGATAGCATTATTTACAGATTTAAAAGATGTAGTTATCACAAGTCTGTTGAAGGGGAAAACTGCTGCATAAAATAACTAACTTGGAGTAAATATTTTGCATCCATAAAAAAATAAAAATAAATAAGTAAATTGTTTCTTTTTTAGATTCATGAAGAAGATGTAACTCTTAAGCTTAATCCAGAATTTGAACAAGCATATAACTTTGAACCTATGGATGTGGAATTTGCATATAATAGGTAATGCTTTTAGTGCATCTTCATGCAAATGTCTCTTTATTCTTAGTCAACCTGTCTTCTCTTGAATCATTCCACTGACATGTCCGGAGTGATGCAGGAGGTGCCTGCATGCCTGTCGTTGGAGCGTCTGTGCCTCATGGTTATAGGTGGGCTCCACACACTGCGTTTGTGTGCCCCATGTTCATAGCCCCATTTCCAAATACTTTTGTAGATACAAAGGTGCTTGCATTTGCATGTTCATTGATTTTTTGACGTTACAGTCACCTGATCTTTGGTTGAAATTACACAGTAAATATTTTCATATCTTTGTGCAAGAATGCCAAAATTATAAGGAAAATTGGTGTCTTTGCAATATTGCATCTCTCTCCTGACAAGAGTTTGTACTTCAGAGGCTTTCTTTCATTATGCTTTTCCTTCTGTTCTTGGTCCTCCTTCAGAATTCTTGTTTATTGTCCTCTTGTCCCCACCTTGACTATTTTATTTTTTCTCATTGTTTTCTCTCTGTGTCTTTGTCTTGTTTCTTAATGGAAGCACTTCTAGTATTATGCCGTTTAGTACCTTAGGGTTCTTTGAATTAATCATGTAAAGGGACACATATTCTATCAAGTCATATTCATATCAAGTCATATTCTAAGATCTTGATGTTGAAAATTTATTGGTTGTCTCTTCAGTATTTCTTGAGACAGTTATTTTTTTCAACCTATTAATATGATAAAGTATTTCAGCTGCATGACTTTATAGTAAAACTTTCTTGTGTACCCAGGATGAAAAATATAATGAGTTTTTGTGTGTGTGTGAATTCCTCTCTTGCTGTCTTTCTGGAATTTATTGACTAGTACTTAATTCATGTTTTTTCATTGCTATTAGGAGGTAAGATAGTGGTCTTCTGGCTGATATAGTTTTCTTGTTTGCTTGGTACTGTCTTATCCTGATAGCTTTGAAAAGATTTTGAGGCCAGGCTCAGTGGCTCAGCCTGTAATCCTGTGCCTTGGGAGGCCGAGGTGAGTGAATTGCCTGAGCCCGCGGGTTCAAGACCCACCTGGGCAACTTGGCAAGTCCTCATCTCTATAATAAATAAATTTAAAAAAATTAGCCAGGCGTAGTAGCGCTCACCTGTAGTTCCAGCTGCTTGGAAGGCTGAGGCGGAAGGGTCGCCAGAGCCCAGCAGGTCGAGGCTGCAGTGGCTAGGAGCAGCCACTGCACTCCAGTCTGAGTGACAGAGTGAGACTCCAACTCAGAAAGAAAAGAAAAGATTTTGAACTCTTTCCTCCTTTCTCTCTACCACAGAGAAGTTGGAGAGTGTCCAGTGACCCATCTCTCAGGGGTGTGAGATCCTGGGGGGCAGAATAGGCTGTAATCAGCCTCCTTGCATGTTTCTCTTTGATCTGCTTTAAGGTTTTTTCCTGAGAGTGAATTTTGCTAAGTCTTAGGATGGTTCTTTTCTGGTTGTTATTCCTCTGTGGTTGGAGTTTATTGTATTCCAGGCAACTGTTCGTGGAAGATTATATTGAGGGGACAAGGTGGGCTGCCCATGGCCTCTGTGCCTAGAGAAGGGTCTTGGGGTCAGCTGAGGAAGGTACACCTCGCAGAGACCTCACAGTGGCTGTGCACCCCACCCTTGGGTTCCCGAGTTGGAAATGGGGCCCTGATGGTGCCCTCAGAGCATCCAAATGCACTTTGTGACCCAGCGGGCAGCCATTAGGTGGCCCTGCAGGCCCCCAAATCTGAATTTTCCAGAACTCTATACCTGGCTCAAGTTCCGAGAAAGTGCAAATCAGCTCTTGTATCTTTGCTTATCGGAGCCCAGAGTCTCTTTATTCCGCAGACTTTGTTTTGTCTTTGGTGCTTTGGCCATCTTAGTTCATTGCTAGCCTTAATAGTTCTGACCATAGTGTTATTTTATGTTGTTTTCTTTCTGGCAGGACCACAAGCAGACGGTGCCACTTTGCACTTGAACAAGTCGACCACTTAGGTGCAAAAGGTATTATTTTTGTAGAATGATAGTGTTACATATTCCCTGAGTATTTTTATAGGCTTCATGTAAAATAGTTCCTTCACTCATAATATTAGAAGTAAAACTATGTGATATCCACATGGTTTTAATTTTCTGTTGCAGAGTTTTAGTGTTCTCTTACTACTACAGCTTGCTAGGTAACTGAAAATAGCATGCTTAAATAATTGAAAACAAGTTGATAGTGCTCTGCTTTTCTCCTCGTAGTATAATTCATTTTTGTACTTGTAAATGACTTTGTTGCTGATACTATGCAGTACTGGTGTAGCCCTATAGTTTAAAAATAGTATAACTTTATTTTCCACTCCAGAAAAGAATGAAATGGAATATTAATGACTTTAAGATCAGCCACAAGTATGTGGCCTCTATTCATATTTTCTCAGCTTTTCAGTTATATCTTATGCTTTTACCTTTTAAAAGTGCTGTTTCCAGAAGAAATCATTTTACAGTCTCCCCAAGTGACAGGAAATTGGAAACATGCAGATGACACCAAAAATGATGGACAGTCCACCTCTAAGGTAGTCATTGATGACCTTGACATATTTAAATAAAAAATATTGTGAATTTTCTTCTGGATGTACTAGCTCTCAATTGACTGGCATATTAAAGGAATATGGTTCACAACCCAGAATCACAGTTAAAATAAAACTAACTGAAGTATTTATAAAATAGATTTAGTGTAAAGTGTATATGCAATTATATGTAGGGCTAAGATGATTACAGTATATTAAGTGGTGAGAAGCAAGATACAGCTGTTATCCCCTTATAGTTCTATTTATAATTACATGGTTTTTGTATATACTCAGACTGGTACATTATGTGATTGTATATGCATAAAAATTGTCTGGAAGGTTACACACCCAGCAGATTGGTGACATTTGCAAGCTTTGTAAATGTTGCAAAGATATTTTATTTTTTACTTCTAAAAACCAGTCACTCCATAATTAGTAATGCATGTAATGCCCGTTATGGGCCAGGTATTGTCCTAGGTTCTCAGTATACTTTTGTGAATAAAAGAGAAGTGCTTTTATTTATCACTGTGTTTCTAGTAGCAAGAAAATCATCATCCCATTGCAGAGCTTACAACTTACAACTCTGTACTGTTGGAGTCAGGTTTTATGTGCATGTTTTATATGTAAATATGAATTTTTAAATCATATATAATATTTAGAAGCCCTTTTACCATTTCCTATCTCCTCCCCAAAAATGATAGTTTTAGAATACCTACACAATGATGGAAAATACTGTAAAAGAAATAGCAAAAGGTTATCTAGGAAAGTCATCTGCTCTGTATTTTATATTTGATCTCTCTTTTGTTCTGCAAATGGAAAGCCATCTTTATTGAGCACAAGTGCAATGCTTTCTTCCCTCATCACCCATTACTAGTCCGTTCTGCTGCCTGATTCTCAAGGAGGGTCTGTGCTGTGAGATGGGGAAGGTGTTGCTGTTTAGGTGGGCACATTCCTAATTGGCTGACTCTTAATATTTTAAAATGCAGAACATTATCTTTTTATAGATTAGCCAGGTTGAAAATAGACTTGAGAGCATGCCACACATCAACCAAGATGGAATTTTAGGGACCAGATGTACCTTCCTGCCTGAAACAAGAACCAGGCAAAATATTTGAAACAAGTTTCAGACATTGGACATCAGCTATCATAGGACGGTGATTCCTGAGAAAGGAAGCAAATGATGTGACCTCATGACTGTCCAGCTTACAGACTTCAGAAAGTGAAAGGGGGGGCCTAGGCAGAGCCCAGTGTTCTGGGTTAGGGAGACGGAATTGGAAGTGCAGGGAGGACATGGTGGATGAAGCTGACAGGGCAGACTACAGGAAGAGAGCAGGACAGAGAGCACTTTGAGTTCCCCTTTGAGTTTTCAGCTGAGTGCTGATGGGTAAGTGCTTGTGAGTAAAATACCCAGAACTGGGAAAGAGCCAGCTAGAAAGAGCAGAGAGAGCAATCCTCAGAGTTGTGACATGGTGCCAAAACAGTTTCTTCTGACAGCCACAGAAGGAAAACCCTGCAATTCACAGGTTACCAGCTGGAGTCCTCAGGAGGGTAGGGTGTTCCTCAGGAGTGGGGAAGCCTAGCACTTATGGTTGAAGGCTGCTCCGGACAGAAGACCGCAAAAGCAGGTGGTTTCCAAGAAATCTAATTGCATCCCGGAACAAGTTAAGAGTATTATAGGAATATAAAATTACCTGGCAACCAACAAAGTATAAAATTCAGTGTCTGACATCTGGTTAAAAAGGAAAAGAAACAGAAAAACAGCCCATAAGGAGGAAAAGAAAATTTTTTAAGATTAGAAAATATAGTTTATTTGGAAAGTGAAAGAGAGAGAGAGGATTCACCTGTCCATTGTAGGAGAGGGGGCCAGAGCTCCGGAAGCATGGCAATAGCCACGGCTCGAAGAGTACATGGCCACACCAGAGTCTACTAAAGCAGTGGCCCAGGAGAAAATTTAATCAATTGAACCAACTCCCCAGAACAAAACAGTGGTAGAATCAGCAGACAAGGAGAATAAAAGTTATTATAGGCCGGGCACGGTCACTCACGCCTATGATCCCAGCACTTTGGGAGGCCGAGGTGAGAGGATTCCCTGAGTCCACGGGTTCTAGACCAGCCTGGGAAACTTGGCAAGATCTCGTCTCTACAATAAATAAAAAAATTAACCGGGCATGGTAGCACACGCCTGTAGTTCCAGCTATTTGGAAAGCTGCAGTGGAAGGATCACCTGAGCCCAGCAGGTCGGGGCTGTGGTGGCTGTGAGCGTGCCACTGTACTCCAGCCTGGGCGACAGAGTGGACTCCAACTAAAAAAAAATAAAAGTAGAAGTTATTATAACTATATTCCATTCTTAAGAAAATAGAAGAAGACATGAGCACATCGAGTGGATACATGGAAGATATATGAGAGACACAGATTTATCTTCTGGAGATGAAAAATTAGGTGAAAAGGTGAAAAATATATTGGACAGAATTAACAAACTAGACAGTACAAAAGAAAAGATTAGTGAACTTGGTGACACAGCAATAGAAACTGTCCAAAACAAAACATGAAAAATGGGGGGACGGGTGCCTGACTAAAAATGCTCTAAAAAGAGTGTTTAACATGAAAAGAAAGCCAGGCATGCACCTGTAATCCCAGCACATTGAGAGGCGAAGGTAAGAGGATTTCTGAGTTCAGGGGTTCGAGACCAGCCTAGGCAACTTGGCGAGACCTCATCTCTAAAATAAATCAAAAAATTAGCTGGGCATGGTGGCATGAGCCTGTAGTTCCAGCTACTTGGAAGGCTGAGGCGGAAGGATCGCCTGAGCCCAGGAGACTTAGACTGCTGTGACTGTGAGCATGCTACTCTTAGACGACAGAATGAGATTCTGACTCAAAAAAAAAAGAAAAGAGCATCAGTGAGTTACCATACAACTTCAAGCAACTTCATGTAATTATTGGAGTCCTGGAGAATGGAGGGGATATTTGAAAAAATAGTGACTAGAAATTTCCAAATTTGAGGAACACTGTAAGCTCACATATCAGGAAGCTCAACAAGCCCTAAGTCCAGGAAACATGAAGAAAATTACACCAAGGCATATCACAATCAAATTCTTTCAAGTCAGTAATAAAGAGCAAATGTTAACAGGGAAGGGGGGTGAAGAGAGGTTAGTTTATGGGTCCAAAGATGCAGTTAGATGGAAAAAGATCTAGTGTTCGATAGTACCGTGAAATGTCTGTAGGTAACAACAGCGTATAGTTCAAAACATCTGGGAAAAAATGAGGTGATGGATGTTAATCCCATTTACCCTGATTTGATTATTCCATATTGTATCATGAATCAGAATATCACATGTACCCCCAAAATATGTACAACTAGGATGTATCAGTTTTTTGTTGTTGTTTTTGAGTCAGGATCTCACTGTCACCCAGCCTGAAGTGCAGTGGCATGATCATGAGGATCACAGCTCACTGTAGCCTTGACCTCCTGGGCTCAGGTGATCCTCTCCCCTCAGCCTTCTGATTATCTGGGACTATGGCGTGAACCACCACGCCAAGCTAAAGTTTTGATTTTTTGTAGAGATGAGTTCTTGCTATGTTGCCCAGGCTGGTCTTGAACTCCTGGACTCTAGTGACCCTCCTGCCTCGGCCTCCCAGAGTACTGGACTTATGGTATGAGCCACCATGCCCGGCCTTATGTATCAACTTTTTAAAAGAGGAAAAAGCCTCATTATATACAGAACAGAAATAGCAGTGAATTTCCTGTCAAAAACAGTGCAAGCCAGAAAACAGCATGACATGTTTAAAGTACTGAAAAGAAAAAAGACTGTCAAGCTGTACCCTATAAATGCTTCTCAAAAATGAAGGTGAAGGAAAAATTTCAGACACACAAAAGCTGCGAGAAGATAGGATCTGGCACCAGCCGGCCTGCGCTACTAGAAATAGTGAAATCCTGAGGCACAGGGAGAAGTGTACCAAGTGGAAGTGAGGATGCATGCAAAGTAATGGAAAGGGCCAGAAGTGATAAATCTGTGGATGATGTAAATAAGTTTTGCTTGCTTTTGAAAGTCCTCTTTAAAGATAATTGACTTTCCGAAGCTGAAATAATAGAATTGTTACAGAGTTCATAACTTTGCTAGGCCTAAAACATGTGATGACCATAGTGCCAAAAATAGAATAGTTTCATAAGGTTCTTAGAGGCTATGTGAAGTGGTAATGAGTTAAAGATGTATGTGGTAAAGTCCATGGCACCCAGTAAAGCGGTAATGCAAAGAGTTACAGCTGCCAGGCCAACAATGGAGTTGAAGAGGAATCACAAAAATAACTAATTGAAAAACAGGCAGCCACAAAGAAAAACAAAACCATGAACTTCGCGGTAACCTGGATGGACTTAGAGTCTATAATCCTGAGTGATCTTTCACAGAAAGAAAGAACTGAGTACATGTTCTCACTCATAAGTGGACCTTGAACAACTTGTAATACTATAGGAGAAGGACTGACAGAAGCGGGAAACTGCGGGGGCTTGGGAGGGGCAGGAAGGTGGGATTGGTGGCAGTAGTGGGAATCTGCCTGAGGAAGGGGGAGCACCCTTCATCAACAAAGATACCTGCACAATGAATACTTGTATATCTAACCCTGAATTGCACCCCACAATTTTAAAATAAGAAATTTAAAGGTGGAAAAGAAAAAAAGAAAAACAGGCAGGCAAAGAAGAACATGTGTTTGAATTTACTGTAACCTTACTGATTTTTCTTTCCATTTGTATGGTCATTTACTGAGGTAGGGGTATTGAAATCTGTAACTATAATTTTATAACAAGAACAGCTGAAACATAGAAAACAAATAGCAAGGTGATAGATTTAAATTTAACCGTAACCAGTAATTGCATTAAATATAAATGGTCTAAACACTGAAACTAAAAGTGAGAAGTTGACAAATTGGACAAAAAAGAAAACCCAACTGTATACTGCCTGTAAGAAACCGATTTTAAATATAATACACAAGTAAGTTAAAAGTAAAATGATTGGAAA